TCGCGCGTCCTTGAACGACGAAAAGGAACTGTATTAATGCTTCCAGAAGACAATTTCCTTCATCGTCCGATACGATGAAACTTTAAACGCATCCCGGTTTAATACTAGATTTACGGAGCACAAGAAACAGCTGTTTTATATTAGTTTATAACAGTGACAATAACACGTTTATTCTAATTTTTAATAAGTGTTATTTGCCGTGAGCAACATATAAATTGAACAAATATCTCATAAATGTATCTTTACGATATGAATAATCGGAAATTAAAAAATTAGTGAACCGTCGTTTTGACGGTTTCTATCTATCTATTCTATTATTATCTATTATATCTATTATATCTATATTATATCTATTATATATATATATATTACTATCTATCTAATCTACTATTAATCATGTCTTGGATAGAACCTTCCCGGATTTGATCGAACTAGGCCCAACAGTTAGGCGTTTTTAACTCGAGAATGATAAAATTCCCGCGTCCCTCGTGTACCAGGAAAACGAGGTAGCATTAGCAAGGATTAGAGAAAAGAATCGGGCAGAGTTTGGCGTTAGATATTTTTCTTTCGATTTCTCGGACAACAAACTACTCATTGTACGCGCACGACAATGGCGCGCGCAGTCTCCTCTTTCCAGCAATATTCCTTGCAAAGCTATCAGCGGTTGCTTCAGAACGTTCGTTACTTTTTCCCCCGCAGCTCTCGCGCGTTTGTTATTCTTTTTCTGAAAATCAAGGGACGCGGGGCGGCCGGGGGCGGGAGGGGGGACGGCCGGCGTAGGAAAGAAGCGGAAGAGAGAGAATCAGTGAAAAACAGAAGGCCAGGTGTGGTGTGTGCGGTGAAACGTTTGATGAGGTGCATCGGTGCATCACGCGCCACGCTCGGCGAGTACCCTAAAAACGCGCATACACGTTCCCGCAGCAAATCCAGCATGAAGTATAAATCGGTAATGCCGATGAAAAAACTCGGTCGGCGTCCAGCCACCGACAGCACGGTATTTCGCCTCGTTGGAGCCGGATCTTTTTTCCTCCGTTATCATTATTATTCATTTTCCGGGAGATTACGCGCGTACGTACGCGCCGTACGCGCGCGTACGCGTCCGAGAGCCCGCATTCTGAGGGGTCCGGTGTGCGCGACTTTCGAAAAAGTTGCGCCGCCGCTGTCGCCGCGTCGGGAAATTAATAATGCGACGACGGGAATGTGAAATGAGCGGCACCGGACATCGGAGTTTTTAATCGCGTTTCGACCGTTGTCGAACACGAAAGGCCCCGCAAATCCCGCGCCGGCTGCCAAATAATTGATAACGCGGAGTTACAGCGACGCGAGGAGACCAAAAAGACCGGCTCCGATTTTTAAGCTCCGATGAAAAGTCTAATAAAACGTTGACGAAAAATCGTGCCGTGACTTTTTTACCGGCGTTGTAACGGAGGGACTTCGCCGTGGAAAAACAATTCGACGGAAATCTCTGACAAAAATGTTCAACCGCGCGGTCTTTCGACTTTTCGCGATGCTGCAGCGGGAGTGCAACACCGAGAGACGCGAGGTGTCCTCAGTTTCCCCGCCGCGTTCTATAAGAGAAATCGAGTCCTTTTAAAAATCGAGGACACGCTTGTAAAAGCGGAGACTTCGAGCATTAAAACGAGCCCGGGTCGACCACCGTGCGACGCTTTTTCGAAAAGTTACGGCGATTCGAAACTTTGCCATAATTCGCGCTGTCGGATTCGAAGGAGTGCTCGGTGAACAAAATGGCGGCCGGACGAATCCCGTGCTGCTTTGTGTGAAGAGAGCAAGAGTAATTTTCCTTGAACTTAACTCTGTTTAAAAGCTGCGGGGAGAAACGGGAAGACGGGCGGTGCGGAGAGAGCGGAGAGGGGAGGAGAGGAGACCGTGGGAAAAGAAGGGAGGTGACACGGCCACGTGAAGAGATGAGGGACGTAAAAAAGGGAGCGCGGAATCGAGCCGGCTTTTAATCGTCGTCGCGGCGCTCGTTTTTTGTGGCGCCGTGCGCCAGTGTCGGAATCCACTTTAACGGACCTTACTAATCACCAAGCAAGGTGGTCCTCCGCTTGTTTACCTCGACTCTGATTAACCTTCCACGTGGTTCGACCTCGTCCTCTCTCGCCGCTGGAAATAGGAAGTCCCGGGAACTATGGATGCGCGAGCACAGCCTCGCAAAAAATCTCACGGACCTCTGCCATCGGCAGATTCGATTAATTTCGTCACGGACTCGCTCGAACGCTGTCCGACTGCGACACCACGAGCTGCCCGAATTTTTCGGAAACATATTTTCACAACTTTAATAATAGGCTTCGTTACAATCAAATGTTTGATTAGTATTGTGGAGTTAAGTTAGGTTTGACGAAGTTTGTTAGGTTTGGCACTTGACAAGACAAATATACGTTTTATAAACATTTTGTAAGTCTGTGATAGATTGATGATGCCCATAGGTTTGTTCCATGTTTGTTGCTGATAGATAATTGTCTTCTTTTCGTGTGAGAGCGTTTGCTATGATACTTTTTTATTCCTATTGGATGATGTACGGTAAAGTCTCCCTAATTCGCGCTCAAATTGTGCACGAAAATAGACAATTTAGGAAGAGGAGGTGCGATTATTTTGAGCCTTGTACTTCGTCTTTATAGTTGTTGACAATTGGTAACTATAAAAATAAGCTGTTCACTACTTTTGTCGAAGTTTCAAAATTGTCGATATTCAAACAGCTATAACTTCGTGCAAAAAAATCATACGACGATGGAACTCAGCTCATTTTAGAGCCCAAAGTGACTACTTACAGATAATATTAGTCAGTTTCTTCTAAAAAATTTGATTTATGATATGACGGATGCAAAACCTCGTTCTAGATTTTATACAAAATCTCGAATTTCCGAAAAATTGATGATATTCCAACAGCTATAACTTTGTGCAAAAAAATCATACGACAATGGCACTCGGCTCATTTTAAAGCCCGAAGTGTCTAGTTTCGGACACTGTCCGTCGATTTCATTAAAAAAATTTATTTGCGATACAGTGGACGGGAAACTTCGTTACAGACTTTGCATGAAATTTCTAACCTTCGAAACGTCAATGATATTCAAAATACCGTAACTTCGAGAATAAAAATCGTAGAACAACGAAACTAAACTCGTTTTAAAGCCTGAAGTCTCTACTTTTTTCGTATATAATTCATTTCGTTTGGAAAAATTTTTCGAAGACACAGCACGCGTAGGAAGAGTCATATAGAAACGCGTCATTTATGGAATCTTAAAATTAGAAACAGCATATAGTAAAGTCTCCCTAATTGACGCTTAATCTGACAGTATCTGACTATGTTTAATATCCAAAGACAATGTACTTTAAGGAAACCATACCAAAGATTTCAACTTTCGCTCACGATTTGAAGACGTCGAAGATAATGTGTGACGATGTTTGATGTAGTACGACGATGTTTGAGCATGTTTGAACCGTCGACGTGGCTCGCAATCGCCGTCAAACGATCACCGGAGCACATGTTGCCGCGTACGCCACGGGGCAGAAGTGCCAGGGTGTCGAAATCGCTGTGAAGCAGAGAATTACAACAGCACGGAAGGGTGCGTGCTCGCGGCATTGTCGGAATCACAACAACTTGTTCGCGAATACTTAATCCTCCCCGCTAATTCCCTTCGAAGTATCCTGGTCCGACGAGCAAAAGAAATCCGATTAGCAGGCTGCCGCGGTGGACCTAAAGACCGTGAATCATAAAAATACACCGGATTACAAAGGGGGACGATGATTATCGTGGCCGCAGCTCCGGCGAAATCTTCTCGATTAGAGCGAGCGAGCGAAGCAGATCGACGGAGAGAGCGAAAGAGAGAGACTGGAGTGGCTGTTAGGGAGAAATGGAAGCAAAGAAAGATAGAGATAGAAAGAGAGAGAGAGAGAGAGAGAGAGAGAAGAAGGAAGAACCGTGGAGATAAAACGCTGCTTCAAGGATCCTCGAAAATTTCACCTCGCTGCACCTTATCTCCGGGCGGCGTATCTGCGAACAGTCAGATAAAGTTGATCTAGTGAAACGTCGGCGGACCAGGGAAATTATGTGAGCCGGGCCCATCATGATCGCGCTGCGTTCCCTCCGCAAACACGACCCCGAACGACATGTAGAGGAAGGTCGTGGTTAGGCGAGCCCTCCGTCGTCCCGTCCTCCCTCTGATTCTTGGCTTTACACTCGGCCAAGCGAAAAAAGAAAACGGAAAGAGACGCCGGCTGCCCGTAGAATGAGGTCAGCCGTGCGTGTGCACTTTGTCTCGTAACTACACTGCTCCCCTCCCTATGACGTCGCGACTTCCGACGAGACCTTAGGGGGACTGCGCTTCCTCCAGACATTAATCGCCTGACCAGTGTCACGATTGAACCCCTTTCACGCCATCCCATTAGTCTCGGCTAGCCCAAGATAGCGGCCCCGGTTGATACCGAAGGTTGGAACAACCTTTGTTATCCGAACTGGCTAGAATTTTCTGATAACGAACGATTGGGGCTATGGAGAAGTGTTTGGTGGATATACCAATAGTTCTATTGTGAATCGATTGATCAGGGTTAGGCCTGGGAAGACAGTCATTTTTAGGAGATACAGTAATGTTTCTCTAACTGACGCCAAGATTCGGCAGAAAAATGGACAATTTGGGAACAGAAGATACGATTATTCGAGCCCTGTGTACTCGTAACTATAAAAACGAATCGCAAGGTTCGAATAATCGTATCCTCCTTTTCCCAAATTGTCCATTTTAGTGGACATCTGAGCGTCAGTTAGAGAGACATTACTGTACTGTTACGATTCTACTGTGATTTCATTGATCAGTTTTAGGTCTAGGTAGAGGATCATTTTTAGGGGATACTGCAACAGTTCTACTGTGATTTAATTCATTAGGTTTAGGTTTAGGTAGAGGATCATTTGTACGGGATACTTTGACAATTCTACTGTGATTTAATTGATCAGATTTAAGTCTAGGTAGAGGATCATTTATAAGGGATACTTTAACAATTCTGCTGTGATTTAATGGATCAGCTTTAGGTCCAGATAAAGGATCATTTTTAGAGGATACTTTAACAATTCTACTGTGACTTAATTGATTAGATTTAGGTCTACGTAGAGGATCATTTTAAGGGGATACTGCAACTGGTATACTCCGAATTAGCTGATCACAATTAGACCTAGCTGAACAGTCAATTCTAGGGGATACTCCAACAGTTCTACTGCAAATAAAAAAGTCTACAGTTAGACCTACGTAGTACCCTCATCTTTAGAGGATAGAAGGCAGAAAGAATCTGCCTTCTAGCACGAGTTAATAATGAAGAAAATTCAGAATAAAGAAAGTTTCATTCGGAATGAATAGGACAACACCTCTTGCTCCCTACCATCGCATCTTCTGATGGGCCCGTAGCAGTATTTCTCGCCCCATTGTCCTTAGCTAGCCCAAGATAGTGCCCCGAGTTGACTCCATGGGACATCGGCACCTCCGTTATCCGAACTGGCCAGAATTCGTCGAATAACGAAACAACCGCGTGCCAGGACCAAGAAGACGCAGGCTCGAAAACACCGTCGTAGGTTGCCATAATTCACTGGCGCACCACCGCGACGCGATCGCGAGTAAAAAATTCGCCGACGATTTATCTAATCGAACGCTATCGGAAACAAATTTCGCCCGCGGCGTTTCGCGAATATCCCATTCATCACGCGCGGACAAAGCGGCCCACGGAACTCTTGTTTTAATGCGGTACCCACTCGGGTCGCCGGCGAGCGAACGATGGAATGATGGCGTCGAGGCGGCGGCGACGGGGGAGGAGAAAGGCAGCGGGAAGGAAAGAGAGAAAGGGAGAGAGAGAGAGAGAGAGAGAGCGGGGGCGGATCGACGGGGATCGCGCTAAATGGCGCGGGAATGGAAGCGTTTTTTACGAGGTTACCGACCACTCGAGGCTCGGAGTGGCTCTCGCTACGTTTTCGCCACCCTAGCGTTTATGATGGCTCATTCGAGTTCTCGCCGGTTGTACCCGGCGACGGAGAAGAAACGGCCCGATAATAAACCCGAGGCGTGATGCAGTCGCAGTGAGTTTTCGGATGAAAATGTCTCGCGGAAGACACGTTTCACGGAATGAACGCTTGAGCCGGCCCCGGGAGCTCCGCCGTGTTTTCGGAAGACGTCGCCCGGCCGGAACGGTTCAAATATTCCCGGCGGCGTCGCGAAAACCTCATTCTCTCGCTGCATTACACACGCCCCCCCTTTCCCGCTTAATCTCTGATAGGCGAGTACACTCGGCCTGGATCAGCGTTACATGCAGTCGCCCGGCGAGATAGAAACGAACCCGTGAAATTAGCATCGCCGGGCCCCGACGACATTGATAACGCGAGACCCAGCCGTCTCTCGGCGGACGCTTCGCCCTGTCCCGCTGCCGGATCTGTCCCATTTCCGGGCCCGGCATTTTCAGACGGAGCTCGTGCCAGCTGCGAAGACCCTGCGAAGATCGCGCGACCAGGAACGGCTTCAATGTTCGCGGCCGAGGATCTCGCGTGGCTTTTCGCATCCGGTGCTGAGAAAAATACCGAGCTTGCACCAGGTTGTAGTGAATATGTGTGCAAGATACCGGAGCGAAAGGTCCGCGGGTTTCTGTAAGAAAAAATACCAAGCGTGGCTCGCTGACCGATAGATTGCACGCTTTCGGTGAAAAATGTGTTCTTGTTCAAAGTACAGCAAATTCTCTCTAATTGACGCTCAGATTGTACACAAAAATGGACAATTTGGGAAGAGGAGACACGATTATTCGACGCTCGTACCTCATTTTTATAATTCTTGACAATCGGAAACTATAAAAATGAGCAACGAGAATAATCGTACCTCCTCTTCCCAAATTGTCCATTTTTGTGCACAATCTGAGCGTCAATTAGGGAGACATTACTGTAATTCGGCTTTTAAAACATATCCCGAACCCTCGAGGCAAGGGTTAACACGTGCGCGACGAATGGATTTGTCAAGTCTCCAGGTTGGTTAGAGAAGAAATATCGCGTAGCGAACCTAAGGGACCACCCTCCGGATGCGAGATTCCCGCGAATTTGGTAAAGCTCGTCTTTTAAACGTAATTTCGACTGACCTAATTCCAGGGTCGGCTTAAGGGTTATCCGGGTAGTTGGCGAAAAACTTGATTTACAAAATTGTCGCGGAAAATCCCGGCTACTCGGGAACTTTTTCCCCCGGATACCGTCCCCCGAAAAGAGGACTATTAAAACTCCGCCGATAAAAGACGCCTCGGAATCCGGAGCCCTGTTCATCTAGGAGAGAGGAGCCGGGAGCGAGCGAGAGAGAGCGAAAGAGAGAGAGAGGGAGAGAGGAAGTAGGGGCCAAGCACGAGAAGAACAGTCGGAACTGTCGACGATCAGGTAATTAGGGCGAAAAACCTCATTCGACGGAGATGGTGCGTCGGTCGGGTAGCGACGAACAGGAAGCTGGATCTTCGCTTCAAATTTCCAAGTGCACACATCGCTAACTAGGTTACGTAACACAATTAGCGCCTCCGCTAATTTCTCAGCGCCGACTAGGCAACCCGGCTAGGATGGTAGTTCACTATTAATGGGCAAATACAAAGCGTCGACTATCTGGGACGCCTGCTCGCCCTCTCCTTCTCTCTCTCTCTCTTTCTCTTTCTCTCTCTCTCTCTCACGCCCTCTCTCTCTCTCTATTTCTCTCTCCCCTTCGCCTATCAGCCGGCACCGAGAGACACTACTCGACTACAGTTTACATGCGGAAGTTTATACGCGCGCACGCTTAGCAGCGGCGCAAAAACACGTTTGGTTTACGCCGGCAAACATGCGCTGCAACTGCTGGCGAGATTTGTTCAGAAGCCGGTTTATTCGTTTCCACTATGGGCTTCCGAAGAATCGGCTTTCAAACAAACTACAGTGCTTCATCGATTATCCGAACTGCTGGACTTGATCGGATGACGGAGCTTCCGCTGCGAAGCGACGAATCAGGGTCTATGCGGACGATCATCTTTAGGGGATATTTCTACGGTTGTATTATGCATCGAGGGACCAAGCTTGGGACTAGATAGACACTCGTTTATGGGGGTTGCTTGTACGGTTCTAGTGTGCAGCAAGGAAGCTGGGTAGGGCCTTGCTAGACGGTCGTATTTAGGGGATAAACCAACGAATTATACTTTGGATACATGAACAAGGATTAGGTTTAGGTGGACGGTCGTATTTAGAGGATTGGGTATTTAAAGGATTGGATATTTAGAGGATTGCATATTTAAAGGATTCAATGGTTAAATTTGCGAATCGAAGAGACCAGATTTAGGCCTAGATTTCTATCTAAGTTCGGCTCATTTGATTCGTTCAGCGCTGGGTCACACATGGGTGACAATAATTTCTGACCAATTTTGAACATTCGTTTTCATTGCAATACATTCGAACAAACTGAATTTAATCAGGATGTTTCGAACGCGAAAGAGTTCTAGTGACATCCACCACGATAAGCTTTAACTTTCTAGTTAATTAACTTTCGGTTCGATTAATTAAATTGCGTTGACTCTGTGGGAATTTTATTGATTGACTGTCCGCACCGAGCATGCTAATAAAGCCGTTGTAGGTTGATGCATTAGGCCATTAAGCATAAAATGCATAGATTTCGTAGTACAATTACGGGGTATGATACGCATTGCACGCTAAACGACCTAATATTTATCACGAGAGAAACAAAGATCGCTTTCCGCTTGATTTCCAGCATAATGATCGCGAGAAAGTAGCATCGATAGTCGCATAAAATTGAATGATCTGCCCGCAGGATCGGAAATATTAATTTCGGCGAGTACGTCCGCGGACGTCGGTCCGCGTGAACGATGATATTTCGTAGCGGGGAGGGTTCTGGCCGCGTAAAAATTTGTATTCCGATCGGTGCCGGCGAAATATGTTAATAGCCGGTGACGTTCCATTGTACAACGGGATACGTCACACGAGAAAATTGGAGCCTCGGTTTTCGTTCGTGCGACGTAATTAGCTTCGACGTTCGCCGAAATTTGCAATCCAAATCGGGGGCCCCTCCTCCGCCCCCCTACCCCCTGCACCGCCGGCCCCGGTCAATTTCTTAAGAACTCGCGGAATATTTTTCAGCGCGGGTATATTGTTTCCGCGGCGGAAAAGGAATATAAAGTGGCCCGAGCGGGGCGGCCCCCGCTTCCGCCCCGGCCATATCGACTTCGTTTAAGTTGTTTTCGAGGTTCGACTCTCGGGGAAACACGAAATTCGTTCGTGCGAAAGCAATTCCCGGGGAATATCGTATTTAACCGGGCGCGGCGGCGAGTATCTTTTCCGGGGCAAGTTTTCTTGTTAGAAGGAAATCCTCCGATCGCCGAACGACTTCCCGCTACGATTCCCTTCGATCGGAGCAACCGGGCTCAACTTATTTCCCTCCAGGAACAATCGACAAAACGCTCGAAAGGGCCCGGCGCGGCGTTAGCCTGAATGTTTGAAAAGCCACGACCGAGGCGACCCGGAAACAGGGCCCGGCGACATCATCAACAGGCTTAGCCGTGAAAGCGTTTCGACGTACGGCGCGGCGGTCAGCCTCCGATTCCCGGTCGTTTGATGTCGCCGCTTCGACCGACTTCAATTCTTTATGAGTCGTCGCGACACGTCCGGCGCCATAATCGCTGTTCCGGAACAGTCTTAGCTCCGCCGCACGGGAAAATGTTCCTCGCGGGTGCTTAATCTACTTGCGGGCCAGACGTCTCATCAAATTTTGAGGATCCGATGCGATTTTGGGCGCGGCTCACCGCTGTCGGGGTGACTGCCGCAGACGGACGTCTATCTGGACCTAGCTTTTGTTCGTTTGAGTCATGCTGGGACCTTCTACATACGAACACTAAAGTCTTCTACTGCACGATCCCCTAAAGACGAGTGTTTACTCTAGGTCTTCTCATCAGCTGATTCGGTGTAGAACCGTCGGCCCACTCCTTAAATATGATTGTACATTTAGGTCTACTTCTAGGCTTGTTGATTTACAGCAGAACTGTTAAATTATCCCCTAAAATTGATTATCTGTATAGACCTGAACAGTATTTTGGCTTCCAAAAAATACTTAGCACTTGGCAAGTCAGAAGTACCTAGCTTAGGTCTTGGCAAGTCAGAAGTACCTAGCTTAGGTCTTGGCAAGTCAGAAGTACCTGACTTAGGTCTTGGTAAGTCAGAAGCACCTGAATTAACTCTTGACAAGTCAGAAGCATCTGCCTTAGTTCTTGGCAACTCACAAGTACCTGCCTTATCTTGTGGCAAGTCAGAAATATCAGGCTTAGCTTTTGGCAAGTCAGAAGTACCTGACTTAACTCTTGACAAGTCAGAAGCACCTGCCTCAGTTCTTGGCAAGTCAGAAGTACCTGCCTTAGCTCTTGACAAGTCAGAAGTACCTGACTGAACTCTTGACAAGTCAGAAGTGCCTGCTTTAGCTCGTGGCTCGTACATTAAGCAGCAGTAACTAGGTGTGCCAAATATCATTGTAAAAAATACATCGATTCCTTAATCAAAAAATCCTAAAGAGAGCCTAAAAGATCCTGTCCCTCTCGGAGCCGATTGATCCAGGTGCGGCGTCCCAGCATCAGGATCAAGAGGGACTGCGTCGACACGGCCGCGAACGAATAAATATTCGGATTGCGACTTTTATAAGCGGATAAAGATCTCGATAACCCTCCTCACGGATACGTAGGCCGACGAGGGCGAGCTCGAGCTGGCGCGCGCGC